ACTCAACCTCAGGTCTATTGAGACACTAGACGATATAGGATCCGATCACCGACCGGTCTCCCTTATTCTTGGCCATCAGCCTCCCCCTATTATAACTACGAAAACCTTTACTAACTGGAAAGGTTTCAAGGACTCCCTAGCAAAAGCTATGGACTCGCAGGACTCCCCTAATTACCTATCGTCGGATTTTGATTTAGACAGTCCCGTAAAAATCGACATCGCGGTCGAATCACTTTCAACCCTAATTAAATCCTCCCTTAAGGAGAATGAAAGGGTCGTCCCGGTTGCTAATACTAATGGGCTTCCCCTATATATTAGCAACATATTAAAAGCTAAAAAAGCTGCTTTCCGGAGAGCAGCTAAATATCCCACCCCCGAATATAGGCATACGGCTAATCGTCTTCAACGAAAACTCCGTTTACACCTTTCTGAATTTCGAGACCTCCAAAGGAGTGAACTCATGGAGAATATAACTCCTTCTCATACAGCGTACTATCAGATGGCTAGAGCCTTCCGTATAGACGCTACAGCTCACACTCCCCCTCTCTCCCGCTCCGACGGTACGGTTGCCTTCGAGGACGACGAAAAGGCTGAGTGCTTTGCAGACAGCATTGCCGCACAATGCTCTCCTAGCTCTCAACCTGTCGACCCCTCACACATTCAGGAAGTGGAAGATGAGGTCCGCCGCCGGAACTCACCCCCCACATCCTCCGACCCTATCACTGTGTCCAATGATGAGATTTCATCCATCATCAAAGGACTTAAGCCCAAAAAGTCTCCGGGCGCGGATGGCATATCCAACCAAGCCCTTAAAAACTTTCCAGAGCAGGTGTTAACCCTCTTATCTATTATCTTTAACGCCTGTTTCAATCTTAGTTATTTTCCTACAACTTGGAAAGAGGCAATTGTCATTGGTATTCCCAAGCCAGGCAAGCCTCTTAACCTCCCCTCCAGTCATCGTCCCATTAGCCTCCTAAAGGCCATGGGCAAACTCTTTGAAAGAGTCATTCAAAATCGAATGAGGCGCCATCTGTTTCCCACAGACGGTGACCCCCTTGTCATCCCACACCAATTTGATTTCCGTGCGAAACACTCGTATCCACAACAAGTACACCGCATTGTGGAATATGTCCTCAGCGGTTTTTATCCACGTCGACTAAAGACAATCGCGGTCTTTTTCGACATTGCCAAAGCCTTCGACCGCGTCTGGCACGAAGGCCTTATTTTCAAATTATATAGGATAGGACTCTCCGATCGTCTAGTACGTCTCGTAGCCTCTTACCTACAACATCGTAGCTTTCGGTTTAGACACGAAGGCACGTTATCCTCTCAGCGCCCCATTAAAGCTGGTGTTCCTCAGGGATCAGTACTAGCTCCCCTCCTGTACATCTTGTACACCAACGACATTCCAATCCCGTCGAATGGTGTACAGCTCTCACTCTTCGCAGATGACACTGCTCTATACTTCAAAAGTCCTAGAATATCTTCAGCAAGGAACAAGATCCAAAAGTCAGTCGATGACCTAGGAGATTGGTTCCAAAAATGGCGTATCGATGTGAACCCGGAGAAGAGCTCCGCAGTTCAATTCGATATTAAAAGACGCCGTAAGTAAGAAGCAAAATATTTAGGCGTCACCTACAGGCTTACTTTTGAGTCTCATGTCAAAAGAGTAACACGTCTAGCTTGTTTATACCTAGGTAGGCTTAACAGTATGTTAGGCCGACATAGTAAAATGTCACTAAGAAATAAGCGAACCCTTTATAAGGTTTGTATACGTCCCGTAATGACTTACGCGGCCCCCGTATTTGCACACGCCGATAATAAAATTATTAACGAGCTACAAGTAGTTCAAAACTTATTCTGTCGTCGAGCTACGAACGCACCTTGGTACGTCTGTAATGCCGATCTTCACCGGGATTTAGAAATCCCAACAATTCAGCAATTTACTAAAACTCTCTCTGAAAACTTTTTTAAAGTTTCAGAGTCGCACAATAACTCATTAATTCGTGAGGCAGTAACTTATACCGCCCCACTCCCCTCCCGCTATACCGTCCGCAGGCCGAGAAACACTCTCTCGGACCAGCCAAATAAACTCTCAAGCGACCTGAACTGCCTTCTGGCGGCTCAGGCCAATACTAATTAAAGTAAAAATTATTTAAAATCAATATGCCTTCGTAGGCAGTCCCTAAACGGCACTTAGCCGTCTGCGCCCTCTTTTCCCAAAAGAGGGTCGCTTTAGATATGGCATGTGAAGCTTTCAACAGCTGGTTGCCAGTCCCCAAAGGCAGTTTTTAGAGGGTATCACTTAGGTTCCCCTTGTAGGTAGTGAGTCCCTCATAACCACGATGGACCGGCCATCGTGGTATGCGTAATGCATTTTCTGCCTCCCTTCGGGGTAGCCCATTTCCAATTGCTTCGGGCGCAAAAAAGAAAAAAAAAAAAAGAACGGTCGGCAGTCGCTCTCCAGCCACAGAAAAGAAAACAGCAGCAAGAAAAGAAAAAGTTCCTCCTCACCGCCGCTTGCCTCCAGTTTAAGCAAGACCAACGCGTTTCACTCATTTTTCGAACGGCGTTACGGCGATCCGTAACACCCTTTTTATACAATCTTTGTTTAATAAAGTTTTTGAACTTTGAGCAGGTCAAATTTTGTATATTTTCTGGGATTTTGTTGTAAAAGCGCATAAATCGACCCAAGCATCAATTACTGACTCGGTGTAGTCGAGTAACTGGTACTACTAGCATGTGTTTGTTCCTAGTATTTACAGAACGAATGTCACTTACTTATTTTTGTATAACTACTTTTATTTTTGTGTTACATTTTCATAAATGTATTGAGAGGCCAAATTTAATATATTAATTTCCTTAAATTTTTGACGGAGCGACTCTTTAGGTTTTAAATCATAGATTGCTCTTATGGCCCTCTTCTCTAAAACATATATAATATCAGTGTGAGTCGCGTGTCCCCATTGCAAAATACCATATGAAATTATGCTATGGAAATAGCTAAAGAAATCAAGTCCAGCTGTTTCCACACTGGAAAGATTTCTAATCTTTTTTACAGCATATGCTACTGAACTAAGTCTGCTTGCTAATTTTGATAAAAGTACAAATAAAACATCATCAGTTATCATTACTTTTAATTATATTATAATTATCTTCTAATTATCATAGGAAAAGTACTAATTCCACGCGACCGAATTTGCGAATACAGCTTGTTATTAATAATACGTAGATGATTTGTACTTTGATTTATTTTTAACACTTATTTCGCTTGATAAAGAGTAACAAAATGTGAAAAACAACTTTGAAGGACTGCTTCCTTTGGTGCGTGGAAGGAGTATCGCTAATACACTTTGGATTTTATGGGTTTTTATTTTATGCGCGGAAGCCTAATTCCTTTTCCAAAATAAAATTAACCTAAGTTACTCCTTATAACAACATTAGCAATCTGCCAGTTAGAGTTCTGTCAAAATCGGTCTAGTCGTTTCGGAGATTATCCGTAACAAACAGACAGACAGACAAAAATTTTAAAAACTGTATTTTTATTTTAAATACCGTATATACTTTTTTTTATAGGATAAGAGTGACAAACGAGCACACAGTCCACCTGATGGTAAGTGGTTGCTGTGACCCATAGACATCTACATCTATCCTCGATTACAAATCAAAGTGTAGATGCGTTGTCACCCGTAAGGACTAAGATGGAATGCCTCATTTTCAGTAAAATGGGTCTCCGGTTCTCTACACTCACCATACGAAATACAGCAGCGTTTAGCTTCTATTTTACGCTGGTATTCTGTGAAAGCGTGGTCCTTCCCCGGTCGAGCCGACCAATTCGTGCTACAACTATACTACTAATATAGTTGCAGCATGACTCTACCACGTACAAAACCACGTACTTTCATATGCGTTTAGTAAAAAGCTGTTATTTTGACATTACAAACAGACACTTCAATTTTATTTATTTGTATATATATTCAATCAGCACAGTAAACACGCTCTAAGTCTTCTTACCTAATTTTGCATCTTTATTAATTGTTTGCAGAAGTATTCAATTTTTTAATACTGTCGTTACACCAGTAATTTCGTATTCTTGATTGAGAACCTATCGCCATTTAGTCCCTTGGGTTTCGTAAGAAGCGCCAGACAGGCTCCATTCACTTGTATTCACAATCATCATCCACAGATGAAACATAAGTCAAAGGCGCGTTAAGTCTGGAACTGTGATCATCAATGAAAAAGATCCATCTCCAGCAGAGACATTTTTATGAAATACATAAAGGTAACACACGAGCACACAGTCAACCTAATGGTAAGTGGCTACTGTGGCCCATAGACATCTACATCGATCCTTTAATAATAATCAAAATACAGATGCGTTGACACCCCTCAGCCCTAAGAACTAAGGTAAAATGCTTTGTTTCCAGAAAAAAGGGTCTCCGGTTCTCTACAATCACCGTACGAAACACAGCTGTGTCAAGCTGTCATTTGACGCTGGTATTCTGTGAGAACGTGGTCCTTCCCGGTCGAGCCGACCTATTCGTGCTGCAACTGTAACATAGCTGGAGCATTCTGTATTTGTTGCCTTACATTTTATTGTTTATTTTGCATAGTAAATATTTACTATTCACAATATATCTATTATTATAATATGTATGTTATTATATTCAATATATCAAAAACAAGGCGTTAATTAACCGACATAGGCAAACTTTTCGAGCTCAAAACAGTAGAAAACACATGTTTTAAATATATATATACATACATATATGTATACATGGACGTGTGCTTATGGTTACAAGTCAGTTATGGATAAATTAATTTAAGTCAGTAATAGTTGAAAATTATGATCAAAATCAAATGTAAAGAGTATTTTAGATAAAAGCGAGTTTATCCAAGTACGATTTTACTTAGTAATGTAAAATTAACAACTTACATAATATTTATTTAAAATCAGTTTCATTCATTGATATTAAACAATATTTCAGAAAACAAAAGAATTACAAATATGAAGGACGCTCTTCACAAGGCGTGGAACTTCTCACGAGATCGGAGTTAACACAACGGTTGACAGTTTCGTCAAATTTGAAGCCAAGGTCGCAGGTGAGTAAACGAGCGCCACCTCTGTGACATGAAATAAACGAGTAGCATTTTCCGGGAATTCTGTAAATTAAAAATGTTTTTATAATAAAAATATACGAAATAATTTTATATCATACGAATAATTTAGTGTACCACTCTACTCCATCCACAGCTAAGAAGCTATAAAGTTACAGCATATATACGTCTCGCTGCTGGCCACAGGCCTCCTCTCATTTCTTAGAAATATTTTTTCCAGTGCTTGTGAGTGAAACACAGCAGTGAAACCACTGTTGTTTGACAGCAGATATACCTAGGTAAAAGCGCCGAACCTACCCAGAAGAACTTCTAGCCAGTAAAGGAGCCCTAACACCTATTAAAAAAAGAACTGGACACTCACAGTACTTGTTATTTGTTAATAATTTTTATAATACAAACTATTAGTTGCATAAAATTTAAATAAAGGTCAGAGTACACCAAATGCGATAGCAGCACTTCCATGTTTATGACTTTATGCCTTATGACAACGGTTGTAATGTATAAAAGACGTTTCTCTGCCTGTGTACCATATACAGTGCGAGTATACGCAGGTGACGTCATAATGTATAAAATTAACTTTTTTAAATTTAAAAACCTTTTTTTAAATATAGAATGTTCTAAAATTGTGTATGAATATTTAAGTCTATATGATGAATAAATAATTAAAAATATTACCCAAAGTTTTCAGTAATATCATATCCATATTCGTCGACAGATCCCGGCGGGCAGGAATAGCCAATGAATGCTGTAATATATGAATATTTTTATTAAGATCCATCTGAAAGTTAAATATTTAATGGAATTTGTTGGAGTTTTTTACACAACATGTTCTCATATTTTTATTCAATAGCGACAATAGCGTTATCATGATGTAGGTTATGGGCCGCAATAATCATTGAAGTAGAGTCCAAATTCATCTATAGATTACTGAATTTCTCCCAGCATTCAAGTATTAAATTGGAGTCTAGTGCCTTGGTATTAAATGCTCAACAGAATTACTAATATTTCGTTAAAAAAAGCAATAGTTATAAATTACCTTCAGCGTCACAAGAAGGTACCAAAGCGGGCCAGTCGCAACGACCTATCTCTGGATTAAAAGCCAGACCCGATGGGCATAGCATTTCCATGGGAACACCATCCACGCATTGCTTATAATGTCCACAATCGACGCGAGTCGCTAAAGGCGATTCAAAGAATCCATACTCGTGAGGGCATTCTTGTGTTGATCGCGCGGCCTCTGTAAATAAATAAAACATTACAACAAAAATAATGTTTTAAAGCATATAAATATATGTAGAAAATATGAAATATTACGTTGAATATCCTTCTCGCTACATGGAACGTCCATTGGATATCCACAAGGATACTGCGGCCATGGGGCCTCTGCATTGAAGTGCAGACCATCAGGACATGACCTTCTAAATTCTTGGCGTTCCTAAAATTAACAAAGTATGTACGTTATACTGCTAAAAACAACTGCCAGAACTATATTATTATACCAAGTCAAGACTTACAATACATTCGATGAAGATATCGCAGTAACCCTCAAGTTTATAGTACGCATTAGTATCTCCACAGTAGCCTGTATCACCTGTTTATAAAAATATAATTTACAAGATTATTAGTTTCATAACGCATTGTGGTAAATAATAATAAGTTTAAAACTTTATTAAAAACAAACATATTTGCGAAAAAGAACATAGAATTGACTTTGCAAAATGATGGTTCCCGTTAAGGGAAACGGTCAATTGTGATTGCGAATATGTAAGTGAATTGCACTTATTGAACAATGACCGTTCACTTTATGCAATTGAAGGGATTGTCTATGTATCTTCAGCATTGACAGCAAATGATAAAAATAGCGTTCAATAACGGCAAATGACAATCGTTTTTAGCAAACGTCGCGGACGTGTCGGAACACGATCATGATGCCGATCTGGCCTTGAACTTAGACGAAACCTAAGGTTAAGAACTGGTCCGAGGAAGTCGTTCTAAGTGGGCTCGACGAGCCACCTTTGAATGCTTTAGTGGACTGCGATGGGAAGGCTGTCCTCTCATGATACGCCCCTCAGCACAGATAACAGAAGAGGAAGGTTACCGTGATTCCGAAGGAACCGCACTGTGCCTAACTCTCTGTGGCCCGTGACCAAAACATGGACGGCAGCGGAGCCACATACCACATTCACCACTGATGCGTCTGGGGCACGTTTTTCTTTTTAGGGAGATCTAGTCCGTGTAGAAAGTCACGATTGTGTTTTGGCACGCCTTTACTGAGGAGGAGAACGGAGGGGGGAGTTGTTCTCCTCCAAGTTGCTGAGGGTCGTCTGGCACTGGTGAGGCGGCGGATGTGTGCAATAGTGTTCCCGTTGCCTATGTGTAGCAACGGCACAATAACATGGCGTTTCAGTCGGTTTGAGTGTGACATAGCTCATCCTTACCCTTGCTCGGTGGGTATGTGCAGGCATTTCCCATGAAAAAAAAACGCCGTATTTGCGTTAGAAATCATTACAGGACGCACGAGAATTCTCAACACGATTAAGCCATCGACTGAGGCATGCGCGAATGATTGATGTCTGGCAGTGGCAATTGACCATTTTGGGAACACAAAAAATATTAAAATAAGACACAAGCATAAACAGTGTTAGGTTAGCAAACAGTGTTTGTGTGTATGAAATAATAACGAATATCTCAGGCAGTTGCATTGAATAAACAAAAGACAAAGAAATAATAAAGCGCCAAAAGTGTAAGCGCAACTTCTCGGTCCTATTTTACCAATTATTAGTATGATACGAGTATTTAAATATTATAGAATTATTAGAAATACTTCAAAGTGAAATATAGTCCTGAAATATGCTCTGATACTCTGATGAGACGGTCTGACGAGCCCGTAATATTTCACATAGCGAAGGCCTTCGATCGTATCTGGCACAAAGCGCTTCTTTCGAAGCTCCCTTCCTATGGGCTTCCCGAGAAATTGTGCAATTGGATCTCCAGCTTTCTTACAGATCGGAGTATCAAGGTCGTTGTAGACGGTTCATGCTCCGACTACAAGCCTATTAACGCTGGTGTTCCACAAGGCTGCGTGCTATCACCAACGCTGTTTCTTCTGCATATCAATGATATGTTGCAAACCGGTAGCATTCATTGCTATGCGGATGACAGCACTGGTGATGCTCTATACACCGGCCGTGCCAATATTTCTCGGGAAAACGTCGCCGAGTACCGGAACAAACTTGTGTCTGAAGTCGAGTCTTTGCTGAACAAAGTCTCGGATTGGGGGCGACTAAATCTAGTCCAGTTTAATCCTCAGAAGACTCAAGTTTGCGCGTTTACCGCTAAAAAGAACCCCTTTGTCGTATCTCCTCAGTTTCAAGGTACTTCCCTTGTTGCCTCAGCTAGTATCGGAATCCTCGGCGTCGACATATCGAGTGTCGTGCAGTTACGTGGTCACTTTGAAGAGAAGGCCAAATTGGCCTCTAAAAAGCTTGGCGTGCTCAGTAGAGCGGGACAGTATTACATGCCGGCATAACGCCTGCAACTTTACAAGGCGCAGGTTCGGCCTCACATGGAATACTGTTTCCATCTCTAGGCTGGGGCTCCCCAGTGCCAGCTCCTTCCACTTGACCGCATCCAGCGCAGAGCGGCTGGAATCGTCGTCGACCGAGTCCTTTCCGATCGGCTCGATTCAATGGCGCTACGAAGAGATGTTGCATCTCTTTGCATTTTCTTTCGCATTTACCACGGGGAGTGCTCTGAGGAATTGTTCTGATGAATCCCAGCCTCCAAATTTCACGAACGCACATCGCGGCAGAACTCCCGAACACTGTGCGATTTAGAAGATGTTTTCTTCCTCACACAACTTCCTTGTGGAATAGTTTACCACCAGCGATTTTTCCGGACTGATACGACTTAGGGACCTTCAAGAAAAGAGCCTACTCCTTTTTAGAAGGCCGGCAATGCATCTGCAATTCCCCTGGTTCCCCTGGTGTTGCGGTTGTTCATGGGCGGCGGTAGTCACTTACCATCAGGTGAGCCGCATGCTCGTTTGCCCCCTTTCCTAAAAAAAAAACATATGGACACAGGCCACTTCCAAATTGGGTCATATAACAAGTTTTTTTTAAGTGGCATGCAACAAAGGCCACAAAAGTTTTTGTATCTTTTAAATATTAATGAGCGGCTAAACGTTTCCCTCGTCTCCCTTAAGGAAATTCCTACGTCATACTTCTATGGCAAGAACAAGTTTAATAGCGATTAAGGGTATTGAAGATTATTCAGAAGAGCTGTAAATTTAAAACTATTTAATGTTAGAATTAAGTTTCTGATCAACTGTAACTTGTACTTACATGATACTGCCACAAAAAGAGCGGAGATGCAAAGCAAGAAGAACATTATAGATATTTTGTAATGCGTCCTCGAGTGACAGCTTTGGATCTCAGCTTAGACATTTTATATAGAATTAGGTCGTTAATTTTACATTACTAAGAATAATCTTACTTAGATAAACACGCTTTTATCTAAAATACTCTTTTCATTTGATTTTGATCAAAATTTTCCACTATTATTGACTTAAATTAATTTATCCATAACTGAGTTGTAACGATAAGCACACGTCCATGTATACATATATGTATGTATATATATTTAAAACATGTGTTTTCTACTGTTTTAGCTGTTTTCTACTGTCTTATATATAAGACACAGTCTTATATATAAGACACAGTTCAAAAGCTGTTTTCTACTGTCTTATATATAAGACACAGTCTTATATATAAGAAACAGCTCAAAACAGTAGAAAACACATGTTTTAAATATATATACATACATATATGTATACATGGACGTGTGCTTATCGTTACAACTCAGTTATGGATAAATTAATTTAAGTCAATAATAGTGGAAAATTTTGATCAAAATCAAATGAAAAGAGTATTTTAGATAAAAGCGTGTTTATCTAAGTAAGATTATTCTTAGTAATGTAAAATTAACGACCTAATTCTATATAAAATGTCTAAGCTGAGATCCAAAGCTGTCACTCGAGGACGCATTACAAAATATCTATAATGTTCTTCTTGCTTTGCATCTCCGCTCTTTTTGTGGCAGTATCATGTAAGTACAAGTTACAGTTGATCAGAAACTTAATTCTAACATTAAATAGTTTTAAATTTACAGCTCTTCTGAATAATCTTCAATACCCTTAATCGCTATTAAACTTGTTCTTGCCATAGAAGTATGACGTAGGAATTTCCTTAAGGGAGACGAGGGAAACGTTTAGCCGCTCATTAATATTTAAAAGATACAAAAACTTTTGTGGCCTTTGTTGCATGCCACTTAAAAAAAACTTGTTATATGACCCAATTTGGAAGTGGCCTGTGTCCATATGTTTTTTTTTTAGGAAAGGGGGCAAACGAGCATGCGGCTCACCTGATGGTAAGTGACTACCGCCGCCCATGAACAACCGCAACACCAGGGGAACCAGGGGAATTGCAGATGCATTGCCGGCCTTCTAAAAAGGAGTAGGCTCTTTTCTTGAAGGTCCCTAAGTCGTATCAGTCCGGAAAAATCGCTGGTGGTAAACTATTCCACAAGGAAGTTGTGCGAGGAAGAAAACATCTTCTAAATCGCACAGTGTTCGGGAGTTCTGCCGCGATGTGCGTTCGTGAAATTTGGAGGCTGGGATTCATCAGAACAATTCCTCAGAGCACTCCCCGTGGTAAATGCGAAAGAAAATGCAAAGAGATGCAACATCTCTTCGTAGCGCCATTGAATCGAGCCGATCGGAAAGGACTCGGTCGACGACGATTCCAGCCGCTCTGCGCTGGATGCGGTCAAGTGGAAGGAGCTGGCACTGGGGAGCCCCAGCCTAGAGATGGAAACAGTATTCCATGTGAGGCCGAACCTGCGCCTTGTAAAGTTGCAGGCGTTATGCCGGCATGAAATACTGTCCCGCTCTACTGAGCACCCAAACTTTTTAGAGGCCAATTTGGCCTTCTCTTCCAAGTGACCACGTAACTGCACGACACTCGATATGTCGACGCCGAGGATTCCGATACTAGCTGAGGCAACAAGGGAAGTACCTTGAAACTGAGGAGATACGACAAAGGGGTTCTTTTTAGCGGTAAACGCGCAAACTTGAGTCTTCTGAGGATTAAACTGGACTAGATTTAGTCGCCCCCAATCCGAGACTTTGTTCAGCAAAGACTCGACTTCAGACACAAGTTTGTTCCGGTACTCGGCGACGTTTTCCCGAGAAATATTGCCACGGCCGGTGTATAGAGCATCACCAGTGCTGTCATCCGCATAGCAATGAATGCTACCGGTTTGCAACATATCATTGATATGCAGAAGAAACAGCGTTGGTGATAGCACGCAGCCTTGTGGAACACCAGCGTTAATAGGCTTGTAGTCGGAGCATGAACCGTCTACAACGACCTTGATACTCCGATCTGTAAGAAAGCTGGAGATCCAATTGCACAATTTCTCGGGAAGCCCATAGGAAGGGAGCTTCGAAAGAAGCGCTTTGTGCCAGATACGATCGAAGGCCTTCGCTATGTGAAATATTACGGGCTCGTCAGACCGTCTCATCAGAGTATCAGAGCATATTTCACGACTATATTTCACATTGAAGTATTTCTAATAATTCTATAATATTTAAATACTCGTATCATACTAATAATTGGTAAAATAGGACCGAGAAGTTGCGCTTACACTTTTGGCGCTTTATTATTTCTTTGTCTTTTGTTTATCAATGCAACTGCCTGAGATATTCGTTATTATTTCATACACACAAACACTGTTTGCTAACCTAACACTGTTTATGCTTGTGTCTTATTTTAATATTTTTTGTGTTCCCAAAATGGTCAATTGCCACTGCCAGACATCAATCATTCGCGCATGCCTCAGTCGATGGCTTAATCGTGTTGAGAATTCTCGTGCGTCCTGTAATGATTTCTAACGCAAATACGGCGTTTTTTTTTCATGGGGAATGCCTGCACATACCCACCGAGCAAGGGTAAGGATGAGCTATGTCACACTCAAACCGACTGAAACGCCATGTTATTGTGCCGTTGCTACACATAGGCAACGGGAACACTATTGCACACATCCGCCGCCTCACCAGTGCCAGACGACCCTCAGCAACTTGGAGGAGAACAACTCCCCCCTCCGTTCTCCTCCTCAGTAAAGGCGTGCCAAAACACAATCGTGACTTTCTACACGGACTGTGAATGTGGTCTGTGGCTCCGCTGCCGTCCACGTTTTGGTCACGGGCCACAGAGAGTTAGGCACAGTGCGGTTCCTTCGGAATCACGGTAACCTTCCTCTTCTGTTATCTGTGCTGAGGGGCGTATCATGAGAGGACAGCCTTCCCATCGCAGTCCACTAAAGCATTCAAAGGTGGCTCGTCGAGCCCACTTAGAACGACTTCCTCGGACCAGTTCTTAACCTTAGGTTTCGTCTAAGTTCAAGGCCAGATCGGCATCATGATCGTGTTCTGACACGTCCGCGACGTTTGCTAAAAACGATTGTCATTTGCCGTTATTGAACGCTATTTTTATCATTTGCTGTCAATGCTGAAGATACATAGACAATCCCTTCAATTGCATAAAGTGAACGGTCATTGTTCAATAAGTGCAATTCACTTACATATTCGCAATCACAATTTACCGTTTCCCTTAACGGGAACCATCATTTTGCAAAGTCAATTCTATGTTCTTTTTCGCAAATATGTTTGTTTTTAACAAAGTTTTAAACTTATTATTATTTACCACAATGCATTATGAAACTATTAATCTTGTAAATGATATTTTTATAAACAGGTGATACAGGCTACTGTGGAGATACTAATGCGTACTATAAACTTGAGGGTTACTGCGATATCTTCATCGAATGTATTGTAAGTCTTGACTTGGTATAATAATATAGTTCTGGCAGTTGTTTTTAGCAGTATAACGTACATACTTTGTTAATTTTAGGAACGCCAAGAATTTAGAAGGTCATGTCCTGATGGTCTGCACTTCAATGCAGAGGCCCCATGGCCGCAGTATCCTTGTGGATATCCAATGGACGTTCCATGTAGCGAGAAGGATATTCAACGTAATATTTCATATTTTCTACATATATTTATATGCTTTAAAACATTATTTTTGTTGTAATGTTTTATTTATTTACAGAGGCCGCGCGATCAACACAAGAATGCCCTCACGAGTATGGATTCTTTGAATCGCCTTTAGCGACTCGCGTCGATTGTGGACATTATAAGCAATGCGTGGATGGTGTTCCCATGGAAATGCTATGCCCATCGGGTCTGGCTTTTAATCCAGAGATAGGTCGTTGCGACTGGCCCGCTTTGGTACCTTCTTGTGACGCTGAAGGTAATTTATAACTATTGCTTTTTTTAACGAAATATTAGTAATTCTGTTGAGCATTTAATACCAAGGCACTAGACTCCAATTTAATACTTGAATGCTGGGAGAAATTCAGTAATCTATAGATGAATTTGGACTCTACTTCAATGATTATTGCGGCCCATAACCTACATCATGATAACGCTATTGTCGCTATTGAATAAAAATATGAGAACATGTTGTGTAAAAAACTCCAACAAATTCCATTAAATATTTAACTTTCAGATGGATCTTAATAAAAATATTCATATATTACAGCATTCATTGGCTATTCCTGCCCGCCGGGATCTGTCGACGAATATGGATATGATATTACTGAAAACTTTGGGTAATATTTTTAATTATTTATTCATCATATAGATTTAAATATTCATACACAATTTTAGAACATTCTATATTTAAAAAAAGGTTTTTAAATTTAAAAAAGTTAATTTTATACATTATGACGTCACCTGCGCTCGCACTGTATATGGTACACAGGCAGAGAAACGTCTTTTATACATTACAACCGTTGTCATAAGGCATAAAGTCATAAACATGGAAGTGCTGCTATCGCATTTGGTGTACTCTGACCTTTATTTAAATTTTATGCAACTAATAGTTTGTATTATAAAAAATATTAACAAATAACAAGTACTGTGAGTGTCCAGTTCTTTTTTTAATAGGTGTTAGGGCTCCTTTACTGGCTAGAAGTTCTTCTGGGTAAGTTCGGCGCTTTTACCTAGGTATATCTGCTGTCAAACAACAGTGGTTTCACTGCTGTGTTTCACTCACAAGCACTGGAAAAAATATTTCTAAGAAATGAGAGGAGGCCTGTGGCCAGCAGCGAGACGTATATATGCTGTAACTTTATAGCTTCTTAGCTGTGGATGTAGTAGAGTGGTACACTAAATTATTCGTATGATATAAAATTATTTCGTATATTTTTGTTATAAAAACATTTTTAATTTACAGAATTCCCGGAAAATGCTACTCGTTCATTTCATG